AAGGTATTTACCTATATTTCCCTCAATAAAAACCTGACCTGACCTGACCTGAACATCTGAGTCTGCTCTGATGCTTGTGCATAAGTACTGAACTAGTGGCAGGTATATTTTGGCCCAGGTTACCAAAGTGAAGGTCACTCCTCATTATATTTAAGTCAAAGTTGATTATCTGACTCAGTTGTTTTGCGTTTTGTCTCGACCAGATGCAACGACCAAGGAGCCTCTAACGAGTCCTGGTGAAGGTCCCACCTACTCGGTTGCCTACGGTTGGGAATTTCAAGACGCTTCAGCCCGAGCAGTCGATAGCAGCTACTTCGCCGAAAGCATAAACGCGCAAACATCAGGTGAACTGCGGTTGGCAGGTCTAACCGCACCCACTAGCGGCCGGTTCCCCATGCGTATTCGCTGTGTGGCTGTTGTTGAGCGCCCTCGAGACCCTACTGACCCGGGCAAGTTGCCGAAGGCGCCGCGGATCTACAGGTCGGACTTCTTCGCACTGTATGTCCGACGTCCAGACGGTACTGTGACCAGACCAGATGAAGAGGAGCCTGACAGTAAGTACAACGAATTCTTGGGAAAGATGACTTTCATACAACCCAAGATGGGCACATCCTGAGAGAAAGATCGGTGTACAAACCAATACTATATACTCCCGATCAACAACCAGCTAGACATCGAACTCGATGGCTCAATGGTTAGGACGTCTGCCCTTGACCGGCGCCATCGAACTCGATGACTCAATGGTTAGGACGTCTGCCCCTGACCGGCGAGGCACGAGTTCGAAACTCAGGTGTGGCGGCAATTTCAGCGGCTACACTATAGTTGGCTGCACATAGCTGATGAGGGCCAACAGCCCGAAATAGCTATGCTACGTTGTCATTGTCTACGTCGGTATAATGAAAAATAAACAGTTGTACCTGGTGGACTACAATTTATTAAATGGTGTATAGGATCTTTCGGTTACATTAGAAAAGTAAGTTCTTCAGTAGAATGATGGATGTTATCTTTAAAAAATACTGCATTAGTTTTTCAGATGATGATACCCTCTTAATTTCTAAAGGTATTTCATCAAAGAGTTTATCTTCTAATGGGAAAAGTTAGGTTTTACTTGACGGGATACATTAAAAAGACCGTGCTACCAACGATTATTAACTAACGTTTTTGAAATTGTCAAAGTTACAACACCGGTATATTTTCCGCGTCCTTATCCAGTATCCGGAAAACAAGTGACGGTCGAGGTGAGGGGCCTCCATCCCGATGGATCTTTGTGGTTACAGCCTGGTGAAAACGCGGAACTTCAATGCGTAGCCACAGGTGAGATTTTCGTACGCAAGTGTGCCTTTAGTTAGTCGTGTTGGCGCTAATAATGCCATTAGTGATAGTTAAACCATTAGACCGTTGAAACTTTGGTGTAGATAAAATTGCAAGTTCGAACGCATAGGTTCTTTACAATTGTCAGCCTGCAAAACTCTACTTAATTTTCAGTCCGGAACAACTAACAGATCCTAGTACAGTATGTCTATGAAATCGTGAAACACGCTAAAGTTTTCGAAATATTGATACTAACTCGCAAACTGCAATAAAACATGCACGAAAACTTAGAAATAATAATGAGCAGCCTTAGGCGAATTCGCCACTTAAAAGAAATATAAGAAGTACCAATTTTTGTTAAGAAAAACGAAAGTTTATTAATATTCTTCAAGTTCTGTAGAGGTAAAAAATAGCTATTAATTGGAACAATAAATTTTAGTCTTTCCTTAAGTTTAAAGAATTGCCACACCACTTTCCTTATATAAAAAGAACTTTTCCTTCGTAAAAATATCTTAAACATATTTTTGTTATTTAATTGCAATTAATTACAGATGGACCTTTAAATGCGGATACCTTTCCAGCGTTTTCAGTTTCTTCAAGCTTTCGTGCATAAATCTAGATTCCGTTCCACGTTTATATCAAAACCTTTAAAATAAGATATCAATTAAATGGATATACCGAAGAAATGAGTTTTCGGATATTAGTTCATATGAAGGTGGTCATGTTGGCCATATGTAGTTATCCCTCCAAACAGCAAAACCTATTGTCAAGCACAAAGAACCTCCACAACAAAACTCTGATATTATTTTTCCTAAGATTAATAAAAAACTTTCTATAGTAGGTTACCTTATCGCAGGGGGTTAAGTGAGTTAAACCCAGCAACTGCGATCTTCAGAC